CTGCTGGTTTGGAGTCCAGTCCAGCGCCTTGCAAAAAGGAGTTGGGAGCAGTTGCTGGTAAGCGTGAAAAACCAGGCGCACCCAAAAAGGGCGCAAAGCAACGGAAACCCCGCCTCCTGCGCTCGCCAGCTGGGCTCTGCTCTAGGAAGGAGGCACTGGCAAACCACTTCCGAACCACCTTGCTTTGAAAACTGCAACGGACTTGTCCAAAGCAGTCACTGCAGAGTCAGTAACGACTGAGCACAGATTAAATTAAAAAAAAAAATCATATAATACCCAATTCTACTATATCTTTCAAATCCAGATCAGCCAAGTAAGGCTGTCAAAGCCTTGTCCCAGTGCCTGTAGTACGTGCAGGCCTGGATGGGGAAAGACCAACTCCAGCTTAGTCAATTATCACCACAATTGAAAAGTATTGTGATTCATCTCTTAAAGGAATCTTTATAACATGACATAGAGCCTGATTATTTGAGGGGCTTCCTATCACCTGTGTTTCTGCCTAGCCAGTACTCCAGAATGGGTATACTCCAGATACCCTAGATGAACACTTCATCCTAGGAAGAACATCACTTCCAGAAATTCAAGTTCGGCTTAGCGTTATACAAGTGCAAATGCAAGAACTGGATTGATTGATTGATTGATTGATTGATTGATTGATTGACTGATTATGTGTCACCAACTCCCAGTGTCATCTTTCAGGACCTAAGAAGCACGCTTTCTCTGTAGTGGTGCCCACCCTCTGGAATAAGGTTCCCCCTAAGATCCAGATGGGTCCCACCCTGATGGCTTTCCAAAAGGCCTCAAAGACCTGACTGTTCTCCCCGGCCTTGAAGTAGGGTAGATGGAACCCACTTGTTGGATATGTTTGTATATGTATTAGTGTGTTGTCTGGACTGCCTTCTTGTGAGCCACCCAGAATCAGTTGGAGTCAGGTGGCACTGAAATAAAATGAAATAAATACTGTACATAAATAACAAAACTTTTAGCAAGAGCGGAATACGATCAATTTTTGTCTTGGAACCTGGTATTTTGTGATTGGGACAGAAAAGGGATTCAGTTCATGTACTAATTACCATTCTAACTTGTAGTCTTTCTAGTTGGACAGCTTTGGATATGGTGCTATAATACAGTGCTTTAGTATTGTGGTAACTAGTAGTCATAGTTAAGAATTTTATGATTTCAGTGGTAAACTACATATTCCAGTGTGAATGAGGTCTAGTGCATATCAAATATGATAATCAAACACAGACAATTTATCTTACAACTTACATCCAGCAGTCCACAAGCAATTTAGGCAGAAGCCTATAGATACTTTGCACAATTTGGAATTGAATTGTGTTTATTTAACCTCAGATCTTAACCTCTTGTACTTAGTTTATACATTTGAATTCTAAAGTATGTAAAAGATTTTCATAAAGTATGTGAAAACAGCTTTTCTGCAAATTCTATAGCTGCCTTTGGAAAAGTCTTTATTTTCTTTCATTCTAATTATAGATGCAGCTTTATTTACCAGTGAAAGACTGTTCTAACTGAATGGCATCTCATTGTGCTATGCAAAAGTATATTTCAAGCATTTTGGGGAACTATTAAGACTTCTTAAAAAAAAACCTGGTACAGTGCTTTGAATTGCAAAGTGGTCTGTTCCTCCCTAAGGGAACAAGCTTGTAGCATACAATTATCACTACAATTGAAAGGTACTGTGATTCATCTCTTAAAGGAATCTCTATTCTCCTAATCTGATAGTGCACATTTAAGAATAGCATAAGTTCACCATTTTACTGATTTATTATAAGTGTACGTTTTTAACCATTTAACGCCTTGTAAGGATATAGTAAATGGAACTATATTTAGCAAAAGAAGGAAGACTAGAATGCATCTCCTGGCTACTATTTTGCTGTTCTCTTGTGTTGCCTCCAGAAAGGCAAAAAAATCTGTAACAATACGTCACAACTAATTTTTGTAACCAACTTTGTATAATGAAATATTTCAACTAAGATAAATTATTCAAATATCATATTTATATACTCAGGCTTTTCCTTGCATTTTCAAAAATGGTTCCTTTAACTGAGAGAAATGTTTAAAAACAGCCTCATACTTCTCAGGGTTTTTTAAAATGTTTCTATAGCACTCTTCATAAAATTTCAGGATAGTTCAAGGATCTTAGTATACTTAAATAGACACTCATCACACTATTTCCTTTGGATTAAACAGCATTATCTACCTGTGTGGTCACCAAGAGTCTACACTGACTTTAATCAATCAAAGGAACATTATGTGATGTGCAGAAGGAGTAAAGAGTAAGGAGTAACATGCAAAAGTAATTACAATCATAATGCAATGGGAAATATAATTAAACCTCATTTATACCTTTCACTTTCTCTCTGTACCTTTCTGTTGTAAATTATCCTACATTCCATTATGCCCATATATCAGTTCATACATTCATCCTTTTCTGGGTTTCCTATAATCTTATTTATACACTGACGCTTCATGTTTCTTTACTACTTGTACATCGATTTGTTTAGTTTATTTGTTTAACCTGGAGTTCTGCATCAGTTTACATAAGGGGTGCCATTTCTTGACACTGGCAAGCTGGTTACAGCTATTGAGAAGTGTAGTTTAGGAATATTTGGTGGGCCAAAATACTGCACTTACAAGAAGAAAAATTAGCATTGCTAATTACAGTGAAAGATTTAACAGCAGGAACCAGTTGTCTTGTATTTATTCATTCAAGTATGCACGGTGCATAGATTTCAAATTAAATCTATAAAAGGCAAACTGGGAAGAATGTAAGCTACTGTAAAAAAAAAAAACTGGGGACAATCTGAAACCTTTGCACCAAATCACAGAAAGGTTTTTTTGGCTGCAGCTTGACTTTCTTTTACTTTATTCAAACTTTATAGATTATGTTGTGATTACTGGTAGTCCTTGGGTTATGACAGCAATAGGGATCAGAATTGCCACTGCTAAGCAACTCAGTCGTAAAGTGCGACATCACTTGACTATATTGCTTAGCAATGGCAATTCCAGCAGTCCCAGTTGCCACTGTTAAGCAAATACCATGCGTGTTGTTAAGTGAGGACCTTACGTGACCATGACTTCCAACTGCCTGCCAGCTTCCCAACTGACTTTGCTTGTGAGAAGCTGGCAGGGAATGTCAGAAATCACAATCACATGACTATGGCTTGCTGCAAAGTCAGAATTGCAAGCCAGGTGCCAAGTGCCCAGCTCATGATCAAGTGACGGTGGGGACACTGAAACAGCCAGAACTCCAAGGACCAGTCGTAAGTCCCGCTCATTCAGCACTACTGCAATTTTGAATGTTTGCTGAACAAGTGGTTGTTACTCAAAGACCACCTGTAATCTTAATAAACTATCTCTGATTTTAGGAGGCTTTGGTTATCATGCTGCAATTTAAACATTTTATTTTTATATTTTTTTGTTTTTACCAACTGTGAAACACTCGGCATACATACATAAATACACATGCACACTTTAAGCATTTGAATACATATTTGTATTGGCATGACATCTATAAATCATTACGTTAAATTAGTTGCCATGGTGACAGGTTATATGTCACCATTAAGTTTCAACACTGTTTCACCACCCCCTTGATATTTTTCAAGTTGTTAAAAAAATAGTAATAATGTGTCAGGCAAACAATGTTCTGCTAGTAGATAAATGTCAATGCACTTACAGTTTCTGGCAGCTGTGGATGCTAACTTAACCTTTTTCTTTTGCTTTCATACCTAAGTCTCTACACAAATACTAGTGCATTTCCAAACCCTAATGCTGTAACAATTTGTGCTTCACACTGCTGAATAAACAAAGTGCCATTGGCATCCTTTCTTAACGGCCACAATTTTATATACTTCCATTACTGATAATTAAATTTCACTCTCACTATTAGAGGTATAATAGAAGGTGTTTGACTAAAACATTAGCTGTCTCATTTATGACCGTCATTAAATGTTTGTCCCAGAGGCCCTGTTTTTAAGTACAGTAACTTTTCAACCCACCTAACAATAAAGTTGATTTTAAGCAGTTCTCTCTAATCCTGCAGTTAAGGGCTATTAGGATGTATATTTCCCCAAGAACTACACACAACTTTTTCACTACTGGGCTTTAGGATAGTGCAGAAGATGGTTTGGGGGATGATTTTAATGTTCACTTTATATCCATCTCCTGAAATTAATGTTGCCTTTATTATACCTCATATAGTTGTACAGTATGTAATTGATAATGTTTTAATTGTTTATATTTTTATAAGCACACTTTTATGGTGGCATCCTAAAAGACCTTAAACAAGTTGATTCAATGGTAGAGAAAAAAACAAAAATTGATTCTACTATTTCTTCATTATTCTCACTTCATTTACAGGTGAGGTGTTGGGGCAAAGCGTCCTTTTTAGTGGAATAGAAATCAGATTTGATTATTCTCTTCCCATTTATCCAGTTTGGGTAAAATCCAAATGGTTTTAGAATTAGAGATCACACATAATTACTTTGTGGTGATTATGAAGAGCCTTATTAATGGAGACTACTATGTTCTTTGTCTTGAAACACGGTTGCTAACAAAGGTGCCTACCATTAAGTATTTATTTTGAATCTCTAAAGAGGATGTTTATTCTCTCAAAATGTCACCTACTGATAAGCCAGCAATCATTTTCTCTCTTGGAGTAACTTGATCAGGTGACAACAGCATATAAGACATATAAATGCATTTGTTCCCTACCCAGATTGAGATGGCACTACCTTCAGACCCAAGCTTGCAAGGCATAAAAAGACAGGAAATAATATATTATAATATTCAACACATGCTTCATTTTAACTGAAAGCAGTAACTCCTAACAGTGTTCTAGTTTAATAATCTCTACTTAGGTAACTAGACAGCAACTGCTAGTTTTAATGTTTTACAGTTGAACTGGAATTCAAAAATTCAGTTATTTCAAGTGACATGGTGAGATTGTGAATTACTTTATACAGAGGTCTACTTACCGGCACATTTTGTTCTTGTTTTAAGTGCTGGTCCAGGAGATCCAGTACCCCCTTCACCTGGTCTAGTGAGCAACACACTAATTTCATATTCTGTGTCAGGATCCAGGTGTCCAATTTTATACTTTGTCGAATCCACTGGTTGTATATCGTACCAACTTCCGCTTGAGGTGCGATATTCTATTTGTCTCACAATTATAGGTCCATCTCCATTGATAGAGTTGGCATTCAACTGGATCCATAAATAGGTTGCACCAACTGACGACAGTTGAGGAGGTGCAATGGGAACAGGAGGCTCTGAAACATAAAAAATGTGTATATATGTATTTTAAAAAACTCATATAACATGAAACTTTTCTATACTTTTGGCTTTTCTGCAAAAATTTTCTTACTATTCATTTGTTCTATTCAAATGCAAAAGCAGGGACTTGACATCTCTCTTCTTCTTTTGAGGATACAAGGGAGAAGACAAGAGCCAGCTCCCCACCCAACATATAGATAAGTTCATTTTGCTCTTCAAATACTATGTTTGATAAAAGTTTTTGCTTTTGCATAGTCTTACTTTTCTTGGTGAACACATTTCTAATTTTATACCAGTTTTTTTATTAGAGTGCATAATGTAAGAGGACTATCTACTAACCCTCAGATATTTAAAGATAGTGAGGTTTCTAGTTCTCTATAACCACTGCACCTTTCAATGATTTAATAAGTTTTCAGTAAATCTGCCTTACTAGAGTGGGAGGGAATTTCTTAGTATGCTAGTGCTACTTTCCTGTTCACTACTACTTCTCCATATTAAATTGCATTGACCACCACTGTGACAAATCCTTGTTTTCATTTCCTGTTAGTTCCCTTGCTTACATTTCTCCATTGGGGTTTTTTTTTTTGGTCTCATAGTAGGACTGTGATATCTTAGGTGCACCACACTGAGTGGTTTATTTTATTTTATCATCCAATACCTTGGTTCAAGAGTATTCAGTTTATAAACGCCCGGTTTCTAATTTTCCATCTTGTCTTGATATTATTGATACTATATTACATTACTTGAAAAAGTATTAAAAAGACTATCTTGTCTTAATTAAATTCAAAGTAACTAAAAATAAATTACTCCATTCTATAATCAATAAATTACATTTTACAAAATAACAAAAAAGAAATCTGTTCTCCTAAAATGACATCTAATAGTTCTATTCATTTTTGTGATTAACAGTTCCTAATGGAGATAGATGAGCTCTTTACCACTCATCTCCAAATAATTTAGAAATTATCTATATTCTTTCTCCACCAAAGCCAGAACTTGTAATATTTTTCAAAGCTTGTAAACTCTCTTCCCTCCCTGACAAAAACATGACCCACACTAATTAGGCAAGTCAAAGGACTCCTGCATCTCTGCTTCAGCTCTGAAGAATATTCCTGTTAAGCAGATTTACAGATATTTCTGTTATTATGCACATGAACTACAACAGCCTGTGAAAGCAATACCTTAACTAAGAACCCTTCTCTAGACTGGATTTTAATCCATGTTAAAGAAGAATTAAGAATCTTAAAATCCTTTTCTATTTTATTGGAGGCTAGCATTACTAAGCCAGTAAAGCTTGTTCCTCAACCGGAGGTTCATAATTTTACTGAAAATCAGGTAGCACCTTCTTCAACAAACAAATTTTATTAAAAGGCATAAGCTTTCATGAGCTGCAGCTCAGTTCATCAGATGCAAAGAGTGGCTTCACTGGTGTAGGCTTTAAATTGGGATGAGGCAGGATGGGAGGGAGGGGAAGATGGGCTGGCTATGCAGATGCAGGTTATATGTGAGATAGATTACAAGTACCTTATCAACTAACAATTGCAATGTGTTGAAAATCCATTTTTTGTTGAGAAGGTCTGTATCTGTATAAGTAACCTGTCTTGTCCTCCCTCCCCCACCCCGCCTCATCCCAATTTCAGGACCTTGGACCTGGAAGGTAACTCACAGACAGAGATGGCTTTTCACCCTGTGTTCCAAGGATGGGAAGGAGAGAAGCTCAGTCTTCCATGGAGGTGAAGAATCCAATGGCTGTCCCAAAAAGGAAAAGGCATGTGATGGTGAGGAGTGACTCACTGCTGAGAGGAACTGAGTCAGCAATCAGCACACCAGACATGTTATCAAGGGAAGTCTATTGACTCCCAGGTGTGAAGTTCATGAAGAACATGACAGAGAGGCTGACCCAACTAATCAAACCTACTGACCACTATCCCTTTCTTTTGTTTCATCTTGGAACAAATTACACAGCCAAAAAGATCCTGAGAAGAATATTGAGGGACTAAGAGGAGCTAGGGAGACTTTGGAGTACAGGTGGTGTTTTCATCCATACTTCTGACTGAAGTTCATGGCCCAAGGAAGGAATGTATCATTCTGGAGGTGAATGGATGGCTCAAGGGATGGTGTCACTGAGAAAACTTTGGATTCCATGGTCTATACACTATCTACAGGAAAGCTTCTGGCAAGAAATGGGCTGTAGCTCACAAAGACTGAAAAGAATATAGTTGGAAGACATCTTGATTAGTTCGTCTACCAGGTTTTAAACTAAATCTGGAGGGAAAGGAATACCAATACCCAGAACTACACTCAAAACATAAGTTTGAAGCCAGTAAACCATACACCATGAAAGGAAGTAGCAATAAGGGGCACTCAGGAATATACCAGGAGATGTGGCAAGAAAACTTAAGAAAGGCAGTACTTTTTTTTAATAAAAACTTTATTATATTATATAAAAAGTACAATTAAAATACAAAACAGAGAGCATAGCAAAGAAAGAACTAAAAGGAAAAAGACAAAAACTAAAATAGTGAGAATAGATAGAAAGATTCTATTCTCATCTATAGAAAGAACGTAAGCCCCAGTATGGGGATGACTTAGTTGTTATTATTGAAGCCTGGTGGGACAGAATGCATTATTGGAATATAATATTCCAATTGGAATGGAAGGATATAATTTGTTCAAAAGAAACAGATCCAACAAAGGGGGGAGAATCGTATTATACATAAACAATGACTATACCTGTATGGAAATTCATGACCTCAAGGGTGAAAACCCTGCCAAAAGCATATGGGTGAATATTAAGGGGAAAAGAAACAATAATGACTCTGCTGTGTGTGTATATGCAGCCCACTCAATCAAATAGGTGAAATTTTCACAAATCAGATCTATGTCCAGCAATTATACCATTGTTGTAATGGGAGATTTCAGCTATTCCAACATGTACTGGGAATTAAACTCTGTGGCAAGTGGGAGAGGTTCTTGATGTACCTTGCAGACAACTTCAGTATCCAAAAGGTGGAGGAGGAAACTAGAGAATCAGCTAATATCTACTAGCAGGAAATAAATTACTGAGGAAACTGTAAGTACCTCAGAGAGAATGACCTCATGATCCTAGAATTCAGCATAATTCACCATAAGCAAAGAGAATGGAAGGTAGTCTGATTATTGCTCTATATTTCAAGAGAGCCAACTTCATTAAACTAAGAGGAAGAGAGAAAGGATTCCATGGATGGAAATCCTGAAGGGAAAAACAGTTCAGGAGAGTTGGGAGATTCTGAAAAAACAGATAATTAAGGCCCAAATACAAATAATACCAAACACAAAGAAAAATGAGAGACAGCTGATGAGACCATGGTGGTTGCATAAAGAGTCCCTGGTAAACAGGAAAAAAAAAGGACAAGTTTAAAAAATGGAAAGGGAGGCATATATCAAAAGCAGAATATTAGGAAATACAGTAGCCCAAATCTGTAAGAATGGGATTACAAAGGCTAAGGCTCAGAATGAGCAATGAATGTCAAAAAAAAAAAAAAAAACCCACCAAAATGGGATCTTTGGCCATGTATGGAACAAGAGGAAAGTCAAGAAAATGTTTGGTCCACTGGTTAGAGAAGACGGATGGATGGTGAAGGGGAAGGCTGAACTACTAAATTCCTATTTTGCACCTGTCTTTTCACAAAAAGAAAAAGTGGTCCAATCTGTCAAAAGCTGCACAACGGGGGGCAGAAGAGAAAAACAGGTCAAAATAGGCCAGGAAGTGGTGAAAGAGCACCTAGCTGCTTTGAATAAATTCAGGTCGCTAGGGCTGGATGGATTATATCCCAGAGTATTAAAGGAACTGGCATATGTGATCTGAAAACCACTCACTGTAACTTTGAGAATTCCTGGATTACAGGGCAAGTGCCAGAAGACTGGAGAACAGCTAACATCGTTCCAATCCTTTAAAAGGGGGGGAAAGTATCCCAGGAAACTACAGACCAATCAGCCTGATATTAATACCTGGGAAAATCTTAGAAAAGATAATCAAACAGTGGTTTTGCAAGCACTTAGAAAGAACAAGGTGATTACTAGAAGCTACCATGGGTTTGTTAAAAACTATTATTCACATTATTGCTAGCACTATTATAACACTATATATTATAGTCCATAGTGCCTGAGGGTAGGACATGAACCAGTGGGTGGAAGCTTTGCAAAGCTTTAAAGAGAACGATCCAAACTCAAAATAAGAGGAATGTCCTCGCCAGGAGTGCTATTAAGCATGGAACAGCCTACTTCTTGTGGTTGTAGGTGCTCCATCACTGGATATTTTCAAACAAAGGTTGGACAGCCATCTGTCTGAATGGTCTAAGGCAGTGTTTCTCAACCTTGCCAAGTTTAAGACAGGTAGATTTCAACTCCCAGAATTCCCCGGCCAGCCCTCCAAGGTCCCTTCCAACCCTATGACTGTAATTATCTCCTAATATTCTGACTTTTGCTCTTACTCCTTCCTAGTAAAAAACAATTGTTAGGCAATGTATCTAGTAAAGCTAGTAAAGTTGTGTATGGCATTTCCTACAACTGCATAAGCCTATAATTTTCAAACAAAGGTTGGACAGCCATCTGTCTGAATGGTCTAAGGCAGTGTTTCTCAACCTTGCCAAGTTTAAGACAGGTAGATTTCAACTCCCAGAATTCCCCGGCCAGCCCTCCAAGGTCCCTTCCAACCCTATGACTGTAATTATCTCCTAATATTCTGACTTTTGCTCTTACTCCTTCCTAGTAAAAAACAATTGTTAGGCAATGTATCTAGTAAAGCTAGTAAAGTTGTGTATGGCATTTCCTACAACTGCATAAGCCTA